GCAGGAGCTATGGGGATGGTTTGGAGGCTCCTGGTCCTGAGCACAACCAAAAACTGTGCCCTGCCAGGGAAGGAAGACCTGGTGGCTGTGCTGGTGGCATGGCAGCCCCACTCAAATACCAGGACTGCTCACCTCCCTGGTGAAAGGCAGGTCGGGATTCCTTAACAATCTCAGCCCCCAGCAACACTGTGGGTAAGGGGGCCAGGCATGGGTACGGCCACCTGAGCCCCTGGGAATATAAGACCCCAGGAAAGGAGTGGGGCCAGGCATGGCTGCAGCCACCTGAACATGCAGGGGTGAAAGAGGCCCCAGGGAGGGGATAGTTGTATAGGCCCAGAGAGGGGGCAGTCATGGAGCCCTGGAGAGAGGGTGGCAGTGGAGGCCCTGACAGGGGTTGAGTAGGACTGAGGGTCCGTTTGAAAGGCACTCTCAGGGGGTGTGCTGAGTAGGGCTGTGGGACAGCCAGAAGGGCAGCACATGGGCCAACCCCCGTAAGATCAAGTTGTTGTGTGTGAGAAGCCTGGTGAGGGGCTAGGGTGGAGTTAGCCCTCCATTTGGTGAATTGGCTGGCCACTACCCAGGTGAGGGTCATGGGGGTGGCTCAAAAGACTGCACGTCACCAGCTGAAGTGTGACTTAGATAAGCCTTATGGGGCTGCTCAAGGAAGCAGGGCAGAGTGAAAGAAGCATAGTATCGTGTGGCGAGCAAGAGACCCTGTGAGAGAGGGTGGAGTGCAAGAGGCCCCAGTGATAGGGGGTTGGTATGAGCGTGTGAGTGAATGAGACCTGACGAAGGACTAAGTTGGCCTGGCTTTAGGCCAGGAGAATAGTGGCATACTGGATGCCATCTGCAAGGCCATGGTGTAGGGATGGTACAGAGCTGTGGATAATGCTTGCTGGCATCAGGGCATAGAATGGGTAGCCTCCCACATTTACCACCAGTTTATTGTTACAACAAAGATGTGGCAGGCGAGATTGGGCAGCCTGCCCCATAGACAGGTGGGTGGGCCGACTTGAGGCTTGGCTCCAGGCTTGCCCCCTGTCACGGTGTGAGACACTCATTTGACACATACAGCATAAACTGTCCAGAGTAATGTTTTTTTCTAAATCCCTTGTCCTAAGCCTTTCTACGCTTCCCAGGCCTGCTCTTTTAAATGAAAAAGTCTTGCATCCACACTGCATGATACTTGTGAATTATCTAACCAGTTGTAGCCAACTGCATAATTTACTTTCAGAGTGGATTAAGTTTTTTGAGGATGAGGTAGTGTGGAGTAAGGTATAGCGACTGCATCTGTATCTCAGACTAACTTGGCAATCTCCTCCCTGTGTAGTCCCACAGTGTATTGCTTCATGCAAGGTCTAATATATCTGTTTACCTGTGTTATCTCCACTTCTTTGCGGTCATGTTTACCAGATGTCACCTCCTGGGTACACCTAGGAGAGCCCTGTTTGTGTTTACATATTTCTGGAGTTGCATGTCCTTTCTTCTTTGATGTTGGTATTAGGAGCTTTATAGAAGCTGTGTTTCATGCATCTGTGTGAAGCTATGCAGAGGTCATGACTTATCTTATTGTTTACTTTCCTAACAGTCATTGAAACATGCATATATAAGCATACCACAAAGCAAGTGATTATGAGGGGAAATGATCCAACTCAACACTGCAAAAGTTTGCAACAGGACTGGAGGTAGTGTCCAGGTGACTGTCTTACTCTGAAAAAAAACCTTTTTTTTTCTAGGAGGTCCACCTTTGAACCCTAGTATGTTGCTGGTGCCAACAAAAACAGTATGATCTTAGAGATCAACCGGGACTTGGAGGAGGAGAGTTTCCCCAAAAGCCAGGATCTTGGCAAACTCCAGACTCCTGAGGCAATGTCATCTTATTTTTTGCTTTCCAAAAGCATGTTGTATTGTTGTCTCCTAGTCCTCAAAGTCTAGCTGAATAAGTCCACTAACTTATCAAATAAAAGGTTTCATAACTCAGGGAAGTGGAGAGTAACCTGACTTGTCCAGAGTCAAAGTAAAATTTAATATCAGGCTTCAACTACCTGAAGGGTAGTTCCATAGAGGATGAAGCTAGCCTGTTCTCAGTGGTGGCAGATGACAGAACAAGGAGCAGTGGTCTCTAGTTGCAGAAAGGAAAGTTTAGGAAGAACTTTTTCACTAGGAGGGTAGTAAAACACTGGAACAGGTTACCCAGAGAGGTTGTGGGATCTCCATCCTTGGAGGTTTTTAAGACCTGGCTAGACAAAACATTGGTTGGGATGATCTAATTGGGGATAGTACTGCTTAGAGCAGAGCGTTGGACTGGATGACCTCCTGAGGTCCCTTCCAACCCTAGTTCTCTATGATTATATAATTCTATGAAAAGGAGAAATAGCAACACAGTCTACCATGAATAAAGAAAACACATGAGTTCTAAAAGATTTGAGCATGACGGGTTCTTTCAAACCAGTCCATATTAATATTGGTGACCTGCCATGGCAATCAGCCTGGCTTTGGAACACCATGGAGAAATACTTCTTTCTGTTTATGGACAATAAAGCCTAGATTGGACATTTAGGACTGCACACATAGATCCCATCAGTGACCTCAGTACAATTTAGTAACTCTCCAATAGTGCAAATCTATCAGTAACTTCCTGCACATTGCCCAGATTTATGGCCTGTGGTATCAGCTCTTTCAGGGCAATGCATGTCTCCATTACAGTAAATTCAACTGCTGCTCTGCCAAAAACAAACTGGTTAACTGTGGACTGGGACAATTGGCAGTGGTGAGCTTCCAGCTGGCTGTAACCATGTACTTAGATGAAGGAGTGTTCTTTTATTGGTACACTGCTGGTGCAGCCCTAGGCAATTACTGCATACATCTCTTAGAAACAGACTTTTATCATTCTGAGATTCTGCTGCCATTGCTGGTGCCATCCCCCTAAGATCCCATTGCTATCGTTTTCCAGCAGTTGGTGCTAATTTCTTGATCAGAGGAGCACTACTAGACCAGGTGAAACTTTTCCAGAGCAAGTGCATCTGCAACCAGCTGCTACATTTCTACCTCCTCTCACCAAATTAGTATAGCACTGCAGCAACTGTTTCCAAAGTCAAAACTTGTTGGATGTATGATCATATCATATAGAGCAGCGTTTTCCAACCTTTTTTGCCCCACAGTACACTTACCTAAATAAAAGAGCACCATGGCACACTGGATGCGGAGCAGGGCAGGGACGGGGTGGGGGCCAGACGGCATTTTGGGCTGGAGCCACGCTCCCCATCTGTCTATGTCTGCAGCAGCAGCAGGTGGGGGGTGTGGTTCCAGCCCAAAATGCTGCGGCACATGTGGACGTGCCTGACGGCACACTGATTGGGAAACGCTGATATAGAGGTTGCTGGACATGTCTTTAATTACTGGCAGGATCATGGCATGTGGAATTTCTGTGGTTTGTAATGGGCATTCCAGAGTGTAATGACAGAAGTGTCCCAGAATGCAGAGAGCCCAGCAGTGGTACAGCTCTGGGGGTACCTGCTCAGATTAGCAAGTGCTTATTTAGAGAGGTCAGTGCTGTATGTATGCATTGATTCAGAGTGAAGTTGGTAAAAGCCAGACACTTGGACACAATTATTTTAGAATAGGTGTTCCACAGCACTTCTTGGACAAAAATATAATATGGAAAATGCTGCCTCTGTAAACAAATCCTTATTTGCTTGTCTTGCATCTTGAATCATGATCATAAATTAAAAATGTATGTACTGAATATAACTGTGGATAGTCTATTATCTATGTACATGCCAACTTCTTTTTTTTCAGTCCTCCTGACACTGAGTTGCAGATATCAATTACACATTGTTTTATAAAAATATCCTCTTTCAGTTTTGGAGTTTTCTTATTTTTCAAATTTGTTTTATATTTTGACTGCCAAGTGTGTATGTATCAGTTCTGATGGCTATAATGGACTTCTGTCAGCTGGGTTAATGAGAAGTTTGGGTTGGGAGAGGGGCTGGGAGAAAAAAACATAAGAAAGTAGTCTATTTTCCATGTCCGCATGCTTGTCTTTTGCTCTAGTGGACAAATCTGCTGCTGCTATGAGGGCTTTGGCTGCATTAACCTTTTCAAAATTTTTAAGCAATGTGATATTCCCTCATTTTTATGTTGATTGCAACATGTTACATATTGATATTACAGCATGATGGTTCTTTATGATGTAGTTTAAAATGAAAGGACTACTTAACTGCATTGATGCCACTGAGCTGTAATGTAACTCCTATGATGATCATTAGGTAAAATTGCCATCGCAAGGATCGGTCTTTCAAAAGTTCCAAGACAGTCATGAGTTTGGTATTTTTCATTGCAGCCTGTTCCTTCAGCAGACTGTCAATCTCTGCTTGATGATCCTCTTTGCCCCAGAGCTGCTTTATAGCTGTAAAGGAAAAATGCACAAAAGTGAAACAACAAAATTAATTAATGTGTTTATCAATCTGTTTTCAGCAGCCTTTGGAACCTTATAGACCCTCCTCTATTTCCAGGTGCTGTGGGTTTCTAGGACTATTTGACTTGTGTGGGAGGTAAAGAAAGGAAGAAGAAACACTGGCCTTTTTGGATTACAGATTGTGCTCCTCGGTGGCCAGGGTGGAAGCCAAGCAGATACTGCTGTCTTCAGTAACTTTTACTATCTCTATTTGTAGTGGTTATTATAAGAAGAAATAGCTAATAGTTTTAATAGTCTCTTACTGGCCCAAATTAAGATGTGAATTGAAATAAACATAAAGTGATCAAACTATAAGAGATTAAACTCAGCTTTATTAGATTCTCGCCCTCTTTCACATATATAATCACATGAATTTTGAGTATGGTTCAGTGAATCTGAGGGCACGTCCACACATGCAAGCACATGCGCTTGCAGCAGCTCAAATAGAAGCGATGCAAATTTGAGCCAGGGCTTTTTGCTTCTGCACATGTGCTCAGATATGAACTTTGTTGTGGAGCAAATTGTGCCACTTGGGGCAAAATAAGCCTGCCTGGCTCCTCCCAGATCTTCAGCCGGGGGGAGCTAGAGCCAGCACCTGTGCTGTCCCCAGCAGTACAAAAAGCTGCCCTGGCCTGGCCCGAGCAGTATAAAAAGCTCAGGGCTACTAGCTCTCAGGAGCTTCTGGGGCCCAGCCAATTGGCACAAGGGGTAGTGTCCCCAGGTACCAGCTGGACTGCTGAAGCAACCCTGAGAGTTCCTTGCACTCTCTACCCGCTGCAGCAGTCTGGCAGTGGGGGCTGCTGCCTGGCTGTGACCTGCTGTGCACCTGCCAGACTCAGATGGGGACTGCAGAGCCAGTAGAGGCATCTGCCCCTCTGGGCCAGCTGCCAGCGGACTGCAGTTTCAGGGTTGGCTTTTGTGTGGCACTACTGCTATTTGTGCCCCCTGCCTGGCCATCTGGGCAGCTGTCACCCAGAATATGTTCCAGGTGTGGTGGCCTGCTTTGAACTGTCAAAGCATGTCCGCCTGGCCCCATTTGGTCAGGAGGTCAGCCACAGCCAGATGGGTCCAAGGTGCCAGGTCTGAGTAAGCAGGGTCCTGCCACTGGCCTCCCTAGCAGGAATTTTAGTGTTCCCTGTTAGAAAAGTGAGAAATCTCTGATAAAAAAAATCCCAAAGTCACTCTCTAAAATATGCCCAAATCCATGTTCCTCCACAAGTAAAACAAAAGACTACTATAAAGAGAGAGCGAGAGCGAGACAGAGACAGCGATCAGTTGGACAATGTTTTATTGATATATCTACAATGTTAAAGCAAGTCTCTTATTATAATAATAAAATAAACTCTAAATACAGGTTTCATGAATTCATGAATACATATTTTGCTGCCCTCCCACAGGGCAATGTTCCCCAGACAAGAGGTTGGTCCCCCACACAACGGCTATGGCCCCCCCCAACAGGGGATTCAGCTCCTACAGAAGGGGTGCAGCCCCCACACGAGGGCTACACCCCCCAACAGAGGAGTCAACCCCCCAACAGGGGGTTCATCCCCCACACAAAGGGTTCAGCCCCCCAACAGGTGGGTTGTCCCCCACACCAGGGGTATGGCTCCCCAATGGGGGCCAAATGGCGCCTGCAGGGGCTACCACCCCCCCTGCAAGGCCCACATGCCCCACCCCAGCCTTCTGATTGCTGCCCCACCTGGCCCCATTCCCCACCAGCTGCTGCAATCACCCCGATGGCTTTTTTATACTTCACTTTTTTTTAGACCCCTGGATATCCAGGGGTCACATTTTCTCCCTGCACTGCAAGTTTGCAGCGCAGGGAACATTTTTTCATTCCTGCACATGCCTGTTGCCCCGCTTCAAAGGGGTTTGAGGAGGGGCAAGAGGCACGTGCTGGGTTGTGTGGACATGCCCTGAGAGTCTAAAGGGTATAATCTAGTCAGCAGTGGCTGGAAGAGATGCAAGAAAAGAACCTAAGAGGAAGATGGATTTTAGTAGATTTAAGTTAAGATCAAAGCTACTCTGTACATAAAAGAGCATATATTTACCTCCTTGATGAGCATTTAATACAAGTTTAGATGCTCTTTGGGCCTGGGCACACTACATATTTACACTAGTGTAAAGCATATTATTTTTTAAAATTGATGTAATACACAGTGGGATCTGGAACCTAGGGCAGCTTGGGTATCAGTGAGGGCTTATAATAGTCTGCTTGCATATTGCATATAGCCATTCTAGGATAGCTGTGGACATATGACACTTATACCAGTGCATCTCACCTTGAGTTTCTCAGGATAATTCTTTACTACATTCCAGTAAGTTCACTGGCACTGGTCTGTACATCAGATATCTGGTGTTTACACTAGCATGAAGGCTGATTATAGCAGTGCAAAGATATCAGACATCCAAGCCCATAAAGTCATCTAGCAAAGGGGCCAAATTAAATAACTATGTGTAGGGCTAAGTACAGACAGTCAAAAAGTCTGAGGCTAAATCTATTCAGTCTTTGCAGCTTAGTTTAAACTGCACAGATTACATTGAAACAGAAGTGAACAGACATTTCCTTTTGATTCAGGTAATGCAGCCACATGCTTGCAGTGTCTCAGGCTGGAAGCCAGGGGTCACTGAAGCATGGCTCTCTGGCTGTGCATTCACTTTCTCTTCCTGCTGCCCGGAGGTCTCTGGGATTTGCAGTTCAGAATTACAGCTGCAGGACTCTGCAGGATTGCTCATCACTCCCTTTTTCTGCTTCCAGGTGCCCCTGGGATTTGTAGTCCACAGTTGCAGCCAGCAGTAAGTTTGAATGGGGAAAGGGGTGTTTAACCCCACTCCCTGGCCCCAGACCCAGGCTGGGGTTTGCTGCGGGGGTGGGGGGAGGTAATCCCTCCCCTATAGTTTGGGCTGCATCCCTAGCTGGGCTTGCTCCCCACCCCCTTGTCAGCCAGCCCTCACTGTTACAGCTAGGGAGCAGAGGGGCAGGGCCAGCCTTCGTCTCTGGAGCAGACAGCACAGCCCAATGCAGGGCTGGAAAGTATACTGGGGCACTGTGATTTAACTTGAACCAGGATGATACTACATTTAATCAGGTTTATCTTAAACCAGTTTCAGCCATTTTAAAACTGGTTTATGTGCACAGAGCTCCTTTTCTGTTACAGGGTTAAACCAGGTTCTGATCACTTAAACCAGTTTATATGTACCTTCTGTCCTTAGCCTAGCAGAGTGAAACTTGCATTTAATTGGTTTTGAGTTTCACAATGCGTAAGGGTCTCCAAGGAGGAGCAAGTGAGCAAGATTCAGAAATAACATGTAATTGCTGTTCCTTTCACTAATGTAGATTCTCTTATGCCCATTGTACTGAATGCATGAGGTTGTTTAAAATGGGGTATCTTATATGCAGAAGAGCTGGAAGAAGTAAGCTGGATTTACTCTAGACTTAACCTGGAATTTGGCCTGCAGCATGGAAGTTTTCCTTTTTTTTAAATTAAATTCAAATTTCATTCTATTTATTCTAGTGAAAATGAAACTAGTCAGATTTTATTGTAGATATTTCCTATTGTGTAAATACAGGAATGGGATGTAATTTTTGGATTTCCTTGTATAGCGACATTTTAACAATACTTACATCTTTATAATCACTGATAAAAAAGAAAAAAGCCAAAGCAAAATAAAACAGAAGCCCTCCATTCTTGATATTTATACCATACTTATACCTGGAGATGCTAGTGATCCCCGCTTAAACATTTTTTTAAGCTGTACTTTTCAACACTTTAAATCTTTTCCTAATTGCCATTCTCTACAAACATCTTCATTTTTGTTGATTTGCTTTCAAGAATTTGGGGTGCATTTCCCCCCAAATCCCTGCACCGATCTTCTTGGAACATAGTAGGCTTCATTCTCTCTGTAGAGAATACCATCCCTGAAAATTTCATCCAAATCGGACAAAAAAAACTACGAAGTTATAGATATTTTATTGTTTCCCCATTATACCCTATGGCCGGATCGCCGCGGCGGCTCTGAACCACTTCGGGAAGCCAAACGAGGCTGGCGCTTCGACCTGGATGTGCTGCTTCGGACCCTGAAGCATCCAGATCTTCTCCAGATCCGAAGCCTCGCACAGCACTACTATTCTGTATGTTTCTTGCTCAGGTCACCAGCAAGCTCTCATTGTTACCTCATTGGATTGCTCCATAAACATTTCTAAAAACAGATCCCTTTCATCCTTGTTTAAGTGAATTGATGTCCAGTATATGTATTTATCTGCCATCTACATAGCAACATATCATGTGAAGATAAACATGAATTTTGCTCCCTATTAGGTGTTATTTGTGTCAGTGAACTTTTTAGGAGAAACCTGGAACTCTGACTTCTTTCCGCTCCCTGCTATGCACTATCTGTTCATTTAACATTGACATTTTCACCAATCTCTTTTACAGTCTTTCCACTTTTGATGTCAGCACTTTCTTTGCCAGTTTGCTGTCTGAAAGGACATTTTTACTTCCATTCTTCTTTTTTACTTCTCCATCTTAAAAAAAACAAACAAACAAAAACTTTAAATTCTTTGCTTGCTCACTTGTGATTTTTGCCTCTCTCGGTACTAGTTGCCTTAGCCAAAATATGCTAAATAAATTATCTGGAAAGCAATAATATGGTTGTACAAGATAAAACATTTGTAAATTAAAAGATTTTGGAAGTATTAAAAATAAATGTTCATTCACCTTTCAATTGATTGTAGATACTTTCTATTAGCTTTGCAGGTATTTTAGATAGATAAACACTTACTTTCCTAGCATTAAATACAATACCCCTCTGAGAATATACATGAATCAGATCTGATGAGTAATAAGGTTCTGTGTTACATTGTTGCTTTGCTATCAGCACTATTCAGGGTGGCATTAATAGTAGTTATTTATGTATCAGAACAACAGTGAAGAGGCAATGTCAACTAAGCT